AATTGAAAACATCATCTATTGAAAGTTAAATTTCTTATCTTCTTTCCCATTCCAACTTATTCTCCTTCATGAATTCTTCAACTTGATTCCAATCTAGAAATCTCAGTTACTGATGACAACTCACTCTCCCATATGCCCATTCCCAATCTATCACCAGTCATCAAATATACTTCAGAAATGTCTCTCCAGCTCATTGTTTTCTATTCTATTCCACAGTTTAAACCCTTCTCAATCTGGCCTCGATTATTGACAGTTCTGCACAAGTCTTTTTTTCTTTTTCTTTTTTCTAGATTACTGACAGTCTACACCAGTCTTTTCCCCCCCACACTATCACTTGAATATTATCCTTGATCAAATCACCCACGTTACCAAAAAGAAACAACAAATAACACCTTCGATTCCCAATTTCACAGAGAATAAAACCTAAATCCCTTACAAAGGCATTGCCATACTTCAGTGTAGCATCTTAACCTCGTTTCCTTCCATTCCACTCCATACATGCTCATTATTCTTAGCATAAGACACTTATTACCCAGAAGTTCCAACCTCCAATGGGCATGCTGTCACCTCTACTCTGAATCCTCTCCTCCTTTGCCAAGTCAATTCCTGACCATAAGTCAAGACTTAGCTCAGATTTCAGTTCTTTTTTGAAATCCTAACAATAACTCTATGCAAAGTGCCCCTTGGGCTCTGAAAGGGGTTTGTTTAATTATAGCACACATAATGGTGTACTGTAATTTGTTTACATGCGTCTCCTTCATCAAACTAGCTACTTAAAGAGCAGGAATTGCTCACATACTCGTGTTTATTCCTTAATTGCTAGTTGCTGACACACAGCAGGAGGAGCTGAAAGACATATCTCAATAGATACTATACAATGAAGCATTTATCTTTATCATATGCTAATTCAATAAGATAGCAATTAAATTTATTTTCTGTTTCTCCTCTTAGCTACATCAGGCAAGTCAAGTTTTTAAATTCAAGGTATTATTAGAAACTATCATATATTGCTATATTTTTAATATGACATTAATATTGAGAAAATGCCAAAAAAGGTACCTTGGTAAAGGTGTGAATTCACTAATTATTCCTTCTGCTCCAAGTGTGACTCCCTGGACAATGAATGTACTTCCCATTCCTTTCCAAAGGGCCCTTGGCCCCTACAATAAACAAAATTTATTGTTATTTTCGTTAATTGGTAAATAAGAAACACCAAAAAAAGGGACTTAGTAAAACTTGATATTGAATGTTTACTGATATTTCCAATGAGACATTATTTAAAAGGACATTTTTGTGGAAAATTACAACTAAATTAATTTCTAACATTATTTTAATATTTTTTAGTAGCCTATGTTTAGGCCAAGATGAACATTCCAATTAATTGAGTATCTCTAATACTGATTAAATACCACTAATATTTAATTAATTTTGGCAAAGGTGTAAATTCACTGATTACTCAATGACACCAAAAAGATGCCATTATGTTACCTTAGTTTTAGTACAAGAGTTAAGATATTTTTATTAACTAGATTATAAGAAATTACTGTTGCTTTAATTATTACTAAGGCAAAATGACACATAAATAATTTTAACAAAATTTATACACTAATTCTCACCTGAGTTTTGTTGAAGCTGTACATAATATTGATGACTGTAAATGGAGTGAGATGATAATGCCGAGCATGGTAATTAACCTGTAAAAAATATATTTCATAATTATTTCCTATTATTGTTTTGCAAGAAATAACAAGGGTATGAAAGAAATACTGTGGAGTCACATCATAAACAAAAGGTCATTTCTAAAGTCAGCATAAATTACACATAAGCAAAGCAATAGGACCTTTTGGTTTGATATTTTTGTTTCCTTACACAGTCAAATTACATTTAGTGTGGCAAAGCATTCAGGAACCACAAAGAACTCAGGAACAGGAGATATGTGTCTCCCAATGGTTAGTATTTTTCCAACTCTAAGTTATAAACAATTAGCAAATCATAAAATCAGTAAAGGGGGTCAGGACCAATACTTCAGTGAAATAATTTTTTAAAAGTATTAGGATGCAGCACATATTCCAGTCCCTTCTCATTGGGATGTGGAGACACTCAACCACTGAGCCACTCCGACTGGGCTGAGTTCTGTACTTCAAATCAGAGTTGGGATTATTGCATAGGAAGTATGTTTACCTGACACTGGCGGCGTAGAACAATGCAAGGATGAGCCAGTACATTTTCTGTAAAGAGACTATATAAGAATAATTTATAAATATATGTAATATAGCTAAAATTTAATTTATAACATATATGTATCTGAAATAAATTTTGTTTGAAGAATCATGCATTATTTTGTTTCCCATTCTTAAAATAAAAAAAAATTAAAAAAATATCATGTTCACAAATCACTGTACCAGAAACAAAATTCAACATGAAAAGAATTAAAGCCAGATTTGGAAACTGATAGTCAAGGGAAACAATATATAATACTAACATGAATAATATAAAGATGAAACGACATTTCTGTATATCTAATACGGGAAACTCCTTTCCTAGCCAATTTAAATGCCCCTTTCAATTTCTTTCAGATGTCTTATGCACAAAGTTCCTATCAGAAGAGCTATCTATTTTTCATAAATCTCATTCTACAAATTTTGTTTTTGATATACTTTGCGCTTAAGTTATAGGGATTTCAATGACCATGTTAATTGATATTTTATGAACAAAATAGTTCTGAAAATATTTCCCACAAACTAATTACAACTGTGGCTTAAGTACTAACAGTAACACATGCCTGCATGGGTATGCACACATCTACACACACATATATAGATGCATATATCTATCTATCATCTATCTATCTATCTATCTATCTATCTATCATCTAGATAGATATGCCTAAGCGACCGTCCGACCAGTAGCTATGATGCGCAATGACCACCAGGGGGGAAAAGATGATCAACGCAGGAGCTGCCGAGCTGTGGTGACTTGGCAGCTGTGGTTGGCGATGCACCCAGAAACAGAGAGGAGCGAGTCGATTCCGGGGTGTGTCACCTAAGAACCTCCCTCTCGCAATCCGGGACCCCTCAGGGGATGTTGGAGAGCTGGTTTTGGCCTGATCCCCGCAGGCCAGGCCAAGGGACCCCACCGGTGCACGATCAGGGCCAAGGAGGGACTGCAGGAGGGTTCCAGGGCATGTCCAGCCCATCTTGACCAGTCCTGATCAGGGCCGGCCGATCAGGGCCGGCCAGCCAGCTGTGGAGGGACTGCGGGAGGTTGGCTGGCCAGGAAGGGATGGTGGAAGGGCTCCAGAGTGTGTCTGGCCTGTCTCACCCAGTCCCGATCGGCCAGACCACAGCAGGAAGCTAACCTACTGGTTGGAGCAGCTGCCCCCTGGTGGTTAGTGTGCGTCATAGCAACTGGTCAAATGAATGGTCGGACACATAGCATATTAGGCTTTTATTATATAGGATGATAATGACTTTTAAGTATAAACGGTGAGGCTGAAGAAAAATTAACTGCAGGACAAGGAAAACCTTAATACACAAATTTTATTTCTATTGATATTAATATCCTCAAGTTTAATCATACAAATAAGGTCATTTTTTCTTGATTAAAATGTTTAAACAATGACTTATGTTAGCATATATCAGCCTTTGTGCAAGTTCAGTATTTTTCAAACAGTATTCACTAAAGGTCACATAAATCAAGACTAAAGGTTTTTCTAATTCAAAATAATCATTACAAATAAAAAATAAAAATGATGCTCATTAAATGCTGATTATAACTGAAACCTAGACTCCATGTTGCTAAATATCTTGTTATAATTCAATCAAAAAAAAAGATTCAATGTAAAATGACTTCGTTTTTGGAGAAGAGATAACATTAGAATTAATTATTTACTCTTTGGATAGATACATATGAAAGGTGTAATAATATTCCTTAAAAATTATTTTGTGATTAAAAATTCAATGGCTATTCTCTGTCCTTACTGGGGGAAAAAATTAACTTATAAATTTTAAATAATTTTTTCTGCAAATATTATTCAATATTTAATCTATTGCTACAACGAATCAATCTAAAGGGAACACTACTAATCATTTATTATAACATTCAAAACTATAAATAAAAATTAAAATTATTTAGATAAAACATTACCTTGCAAGTCCAATACCAAATCCAGCAAATCTACTCAACTGTTCTAAAATAGAAGAAATAAGATTACTCATAACCAATATTTAGATTTACTGTAAAAAACAAAAAAAATTATCTTTTATTAACATGATATTCATTTAAAACCAGGTCCCCAAGTCAAGTCCTGATAGGGGCCAGGGAATTCATCTGAATGAGTGAAGAACTCTATTGGGCTTGTGGCAAGTTGCAAGGCACAATTGCTCTTCAGCTCCAATTCATTGTTGCAATGTGGGACTGTGGGCTCTGGGTTGGTGTCTAAGCTGTGATTTTTCTAAAAAAAAATTATTTTTATGTGGTATCTTTTAATAAAAAAGATTGGCAACTATTTTTAAAAGCAGTAAAACATTATGTGGGCCAAATAAAACATATCTGCAGGTAGAATCTAAGGGCTACCAGTTTGTAACTTCTGACTGCAAACAACATACAATTTTTTCTCTAGAAGGCTCTGATACGTACACCAACCACTTTACCTCCCATATTAGAAAATTAGTCATTCACTGTTAGTGGTAGAGAGCATCTATGTTAAACCAACAGTCACAAGTAAAACACCACGAAATTATTAAATTGAAAGAATCAAAATGGTCAATAAAGGGCTCTCAATCTCTTTTCTCTCTCTTCTCTCTTATCCCATCTTCCCCCGCCCCCTCAACTCTGCTCTTTTAAATGAAGCAACACACTATTTCCTTACAGTCAGAACAAGACCATGTAAACATGTCCCTAAGGACATTATTTGGTTCACCCTTATTTTGGAAAATGTATAAGCGAGATAGCTTTTCTTTGCCCAAATTAAGGTATTTTCCTCCTTTCAGCTCTTTCCCCTTTTTGTGTGTCCCGATCATTCCCTAATATTAACAGAAAATACCATATTTTCTGGAAGGTATTAGGAAGGTTTATTATTGTTAACTGTATAATGCTCTCCGGCTTCTATCCACCTTGCAAAGTAGACTCACCAGCCTCTTACTGATGCTAAAAAACAACAACAGCCCTAGTTACATTAAGAGCTCCTCCTCATTGTAACCATCAAAGCATAAATTATGAAAAAATAGTCTAAACTTTACTGCCTAAGAATTTAACTATGTAGCAAGTATATATGCATTTTGAATTATTTCATGTATAATTTTCCAGTACTCCTCTTGGGACCAACAGAAAGAAAACCAGACAGAGTGAATAAGCTAATTGCATGACACTAAATCACTGGTCCCCCTCCACATCATTTGCTTATCATACTGCATTTAAAGTCTATTCCTCCTAGTTATCCCAAATCAATCTTATTATACCTACAAGTCAAAATAGAAGAAATGAGAATAAAACTGATGTTTAAAATATATTTTATATTCAATGATACATATATTTACATTTATATCTATATATATAAAAGCCTAAGCATCCAAACGACCAGTCGACTGGTTGCCATGACGTGCACTAACCACCAGGAATAAGATGCTCAACACAGGAGCTGCCCCCTGGTGGTCAGTGTGCTCTGGCAGCCAACCTCCCACATCCCTCTCCACTGGCCAGACAACCTCCCATGGCCCCTTCACCTGGCCAGCAGGAGGGGCTGCAGGAAGTTAGCCACCAGCTCCCATCAGGACTGGGTGAGATGGCCCATATCGGCTGGATCCCCGGCCAGGCCAAGAAACCCCACCTGTGCACGAATTCGTGCACTGGGCCTCTAGTTTAATATAATCTACTATTCTAACAATTTCAGGAGAATGGGAAGAGGGTGCCATTATTTTTATGAATAAAAAAAGATGTTGAGAATATCTAAATCACAAAGTACTGCAATTAAAAGACAGGTCTTCTGACAATCCTTTGGAAAATAATTAATTATGTCTTGAATTCAAAGTCTTATCTTGAAA